CAGGATGACGGGTCTCTGAAACCCATCATCGAAAAACGGTTGCGTGACTTACAAGACGAGAGGCGGACTCGATTGGAATCCACTTCCTCGAACCGGGACCAGCTTCGATCTCAGATCAACAGCGTGCGGGAAACCATCGATCTAGTCCTCAATGAGGACACAACGTTGGCTGACAGGATCCAAATTCTGTTCCGAGAGCAAGGGATCACCATCGCCAGCATTCTGACTGCATTGGGCTTCATCATATCAACCCTGGTCGTATCGCTGAGTGGGGGTCCACCAAGTGGTGGTACACCCACCCCACCAAGTGATGGTGACGTCAGAGACTGGGTAAAAAAACATCTGAAATCACTCGGCGAAGCCCTGGTTAAACTTGCTGGTAAGGCGCCGAAGCCCTGCCCGGCATCCTGGGTAGCATCGTCTCGTGGCTGCTCAGCACGCTGTCAAAAACAGTCACGTGGCTCGGTCAAAACCTGTGGGCAGCCATCATCGCCGTGGCTGGGCTGGTGTACGTCGCGGTTAAGGAATTTTTAACCAAATAAGACCGACCGCGATCCAGCCAACCACCAGCGCTGTTTTACGATCGATGTGGTCCTTGTTTTCAGCCACCTTCTGTGGTGGCAGGGGTTGTGGGGGTGCGGGTCGAACCCTGGACTTCCTGGACTATACCCGTTTCACCCGTGGGAGGTGGGACGAGACTCACGTTGATGCCTGCATTGACACGTTGATGCCTGCATTCTGGTCGGCCGTGGCTATGACTATTTCGTTGTTGTAGCCCACCACTTTTTTTACTCTCAGTTGCATATCGCTTGGAGCCATGTACAGTCCCACGTCGAACACGTAGTCGACTTTAGACCGGGCGTATTCCAATACGTTTTGTAGCATTTGATGGCACTCGGCAGGTCAACTGGGGCGGCGATGGCATCCTCGACGTTAGCAACAAACTGTTTCTGAGCATCGTAAGCAGTCCCCTAAACGAGGATGTTGGAACGCGTTTGTGCCTGCGCACCCAACAGCGCCCACACGTACGTTCGAATCGAGTCGTTCAAGTGTTCGGTGCCGGCACGAGTGAACCCTCTTGACGTGTCCAGCATGAACTTTTTCCAGTCATCCGCGGGCCCCTGCTCGAACCTCCAGACTCGGTAATCCTTGCTCTTGTCGAAAGCCATGTAACGGTCATCCCACTCGTTTGTTGTGATGTGATGATACGACTTGTACCCCCATTCTTTCATCTTTTCGCTGGCTTCCATGAGGGGCAGGTTGCGAACGATGGGGATACCCAACCCGTGATTCGGCCCCGGCAAACGCCAATCCGTCTTCGGGTCTAGTTCGAATTCATTGCAAACGCCGTCCGCCTGTCTATCGTACGGGTTGTTTACTGCGTCCCATGCTTTGACTTGTGGGATCGGAGCGCTGATCTCTTTGATCTCTATGTCCAGTTTAGGGTAAAACACTCCCGGTTTGTACATTTTTAAAGTATTATATAATGGGTATATATACTCTAACATGTACGTAACACTTCAAGGAATAACGAGCGGTGAGGCCATTCAGCTGATGCACGCGATCGATAACACGTCGGGTCAACTAGAAGTCGCACTCTGCGATATCACCTACCTGCCGCGATGGACCAACATCAACGTCAGCAACAATAAGCTGTTCGTCAGAGGAGCCCGTAACCAGATAATCGACGGCTACAACAGTGTGTGCTCGCTAAGTGATGAGGACTTCAAACCCTTTGGAGCCGAACTCAAGATGAACGACTCAAACGGCACAGTGGTGTTAACCAACAATGGAATACACCCCTTGAGGCTCGGACGACCATTGGCGAGGACATTCGGGATGTCGCCGGACGAGATAAAACCCACAACTACCCACAAGATGTTGAGAGCACAACCGTCGCCCGAAACAAGCCATATATGCTCGTCTTCACCGACGACGACAAGTGGGTGTCCCCAGGCTCCACACTCATCATAGAAGTCTTTGTCAAAGACACCACTGATGGGGAATGGGAGGTTGCACCCTATCGCCTTTTACCTGGGGTGACAATAGATTTGTTAGATTCATATCCATTTTTGGCCGCCCCTTGTCGTATCGTCATACAACTAAGCTCGGACGCCTCATTCTACTTTGGGGCGCTGCCCCCCTTAATAAGCCCCGAGATGGTTAGTATAAAACAAGTGTTGCCTATTGACCTTTCCCTTATTCAACTACCCTCTTGGGTAGGCCTTACAAGCTTCAAGTACATTGATCGACTATTAAATGAAGCCCAATTAAAATATATCTTGTAATATATATTTTACGCACAGGATGGGTTTGTACCCAGTCATAGAGGAAGTCGCGAAGACACTGGAAACCGTAAACGGGTTTCCGTTGAAACAGTTATGTGACGTAAAACGCCAACTAGAACAAGACCGCGACACACGGGCAGCATTGTACAAGAAGTACCATAGGGCTTTTAATGCTGTGGACGGGGCCGATACCACCCTCATGACAACCAGCATGGGACTAGGGGTGATAGGTGTCGGGTTGTTGACCACCATCGTGGCCGCACCCATAGTGCTAGGCATCGAAATAACAGCTGGGGTGTCAGGGTTGGCTGGATTGGTATTTTAAGTTTGTGTCACGCAGACTGCATCGTAAGGCATTGAAACACGACGAGATCAGGATCCTAGCCGATGCAAAGTTAAACACGGTAAGCGACCACATCTCCACCGCACTCACTGACAGTAAAGTCTCCAAGGAGTTTCGTTTGGTCCTCTCTGAACTCGACAAGTACCATAAGATGAAACAAGAAATCCAGTCCAAGTCTTGTAAGTCTGCTATCAGTGAAGACGAGAAAAAAAAGTACATAGAACAAGGGATACATTAAGCCCAGCAAGCCTTCATTACGAAAACCAAAGAAATCATAGGAGATTCACGTTAAACTGTTTTGCTGAGATCAACATCATGTAGGGCAGCCACAGGCCGCCGTCAGAGAGGAATCACGGCACAATGTTACCCCCCAAGCAAAATATTTAACACTTACCTTACCAAGTAATCCCAATAGTATCCTGTCAACTGTTTCCTGTCAACACGACATAGTGTCACATGATCAGGAAAGTGTTGGTTCGCGGTCATAGTGACCAGGAAGTTTACTGGGGGTTCAAACCTGGTATATACAATAGCGGAGAGAGCTAAGGGCCTGACAAAAGCTTTATTTCATAAATTAAGCTTTATAGAGGCTTTTGTTGGACTTGATCTCGTACCGCTATTGTGTATACTACTACCCCAGAGGTTGTTGTCCACACAGTTATATAGTATTACCCCAGAGGTTGTTGTCCACAAAGTCATATAGTATTACCCCAGAGGTTGTTGTCCACACGGTTACATAGTATTACCCCAGAGGTTGTTGTCCACAAAGTCATATAGTATTTCACCAAAGGTCGTTGTCCACAAAGTTATATAGTGTTGCACCAGAGGTTTTTGTCCACAAAGTTATATAGTATTACACCAGATTGTCTGTGTAGTGTTAAGTATTGGCTGTGTTTGTAGTGTGTGAAGTGTTGTCTGTGTAATGTTAAGAAATTGGCTTTGTTTGTAGTGTGTGAAGTGTTGTCTGTGTAGTGTTAAGTCTTGGCTTTGTTTGTAGTGTGTGAAGTGTTGTCTTTGTAGTGTTGAGTATTGGCTTTGTTTGTAGTGTGTGAAGTGTTGTCTGTGTAGTGTTAAGTCTTGGCTTTGTTTGTAGTGTGTGAAGTGTTGTCTGTGTAGTGTTAAGTACTGGCTTTGTTTGTAGTGTGTGAAGTGTTGTCTGTGTAGTGTTAAGTATTGGCTTTGTTTGTAGTGTGTGAAGTGTTGTCTGTGTAGTGTTAAGTATTGGCTGTGTTTGTAGTGTGTGAAGTGTTGTCTGTGTAGTGTTAAGTCTTGGCTTTGTTTGTAGTGTGTGAAGTGTTGTTTGTGTAGTGTTAAGTACTGGCTTTGTTTGTAGTGTGTGAAGTGTTGTCTGTGTAGTGTTAAGTATTGCCTTTGTTTGTGGTGTGTGAAGTGTTGTCTGTGTCGTGTTAAGTCTTGGCTTTGTAGTGTGTGAAGTGTTGTTTGTGTAGTGTTAAGTATTGGCTTTGTTTGTAGTGTGTGAAGTGTTGTCTGTGTAGTGTTAAGTCTTGGCTTTGTTTGTAGTGTGTGAAGTGTTGTCTGTGTAGTGTTAAGTATTGGCTTTGTTTGTAGTGTGTGAAGTGTTGTCTGTGTAGTGTTAAGTCTTGGCTTTGTTTGTAGTGTGTGAAGTGTTGTCTGTGTAGTGTTAAGTCTTGGCTTTGTTTGTAGTGTGTGAAGTGTTGTCTGTGTAGTGTTAAGTCTTGGCTTTGTAGTGTGTGAAGTGTTGTCTGTGTAGTGTTAAGTATTGGCTGTGTTTGTAGTGTGTGAAGTGTTGTCTGTGTAGTGTTAAGTCTTGGCTTTGTTTGTAGTGTGTGAAGTGTTGTCTGTGTAGTGTTAAGTCTTGGCTTTGTAGTGTGTGAAGTGTTGTTTGTGTAGTGTTAAGTATTGGCTTTGTTTGTAGTGTGTGAAGTGTTGTTTGTGTAGTGTTAAGTCTTGGCTTTGTAGTGTGTGAAGTGTTGTTTGTGTAGTGTTAAGTATTGGCTGTGTTTGTAGTGTGTGAAGTGTTGTCTGTGTAGTGTTAAGTCTTGGCTTTGTTTGTAGTGTGTGAAGTGTTGTCTGTGTAGTGTTAAGTATTGGCTTTGTTTGTAGTGTGTGAAGTGTTGTCTGTGTAGTGTTAAGTCTTGGCTTTGTAGTGTGTGAAGTGTTGTTTGTGTAGTGTTAAGTATTGGCTGTGTTTGTAGTGTGTGAAGTGTTGTCTGTGTAGTGTTAAGTCTTGGCTTTGTTTGTAGTGTGTGAAGTGTTGTCTGTGTAGTGTTAAGTATTGGCTTTGTTTGTAGTGTGTGAAGTGTTGTCTGTGTAGTGTTAAGTATTGGCTGTGTTTGTAGTGTGTGAAGTGTAGTCTGTATAGTGTTAAGTATTGCCTTTGTTTGTAGTGTCTGCGCCTCGAGCTGAAGGATGTTATCAACAAGGATACCCCCGAGTTGCTTTACTCGTTTATGCAGTTCCTCAAGAGCGAGGCAGCAGTCAATGTTCTACAGTTCTGTCTAGCCTGTGGTGAGTTGCTCTGCTATACTTTAATCTTTTGGTCTTATACAGCGTATAATGTCTTGTTTCAGGCTGACAGAAAGAATTCAGATTTTCGGTTTATTTGTTTTTTAATATTCATGTAAAAGGATTTTTCCTGATGGCTTTTGATTATTTGTGTACAAGGTACACATATAAAGGCAGATCACTGCTGTAGCTCCAAGGGAAGTATTGAACATGAACTGTTCATTTCTCCAAAAACTGATATTAACCATAAGTATAAGGCAGTGTCTCATATCATATCAGGCAATGAGAGAAATAGATTCTTTGTGTGTTTTTGGTTTCACTGTGGTAATAGAAATCTGATTAGTGAAAACATTTATCAATTGCTAGTTATATCATACCAATTATGTTTTGTGATAACACAACATTTGATACTTAATGAGCTGCTAAACATTTGTTTATAATGCCATTAATTTCTAAACCTTGTCCCAAATCTATTTTGCATGGCTTTGCATGAATGACATGGATGATTCAATAACAATTCTGTGAATTAACTATCAGTTGTAATTACATTCAAATAATTATCTAATTCTCCTCGGAAGAGAAAGACTGAATTTTGTGTTTGAGCAACCTACTATGGTTAAAATGGTTTTTTTGAAGTATGTTAAACTATGATGTTTTGGAATCACAAGATCAATTTAGGATTCTGAGAAGATGGATACATGAATACAAGTCATTAATGACTGCACTAATATCAGTGAATTGTGATCACTAGAGAACTCGTTCTAATATTGGGGTGAATTCATTGGTATGTATATGAGTTGTTTACTACCAGTATAACTGTACTGAATGAGTTGCCTACAGATGATTTCAATGAGCGTATCCTGAGTCCCAGCGTGTCTCAGAGTGAGTTTGTAGAGCTACACAACATGGCCAAGGACCTCTACAACAGCTACTGTGCTCCCACTGCCTTAGACAGGATCAAGTTTGATGAACAAATCGTCCAAGAACTTGAAGGAGGTAATGTTTTCATGAGGAACAATGATGTCATAAACTGGTCCAAACTTTAAGCTGTTGTCATACAGATCTGAGACTGATGTCATCAGAAAATCACATACAATTGTCAACAACAACAATGGAAAGCCAACTCCATGAATCAAAGTATTTCTATTCAAGATTTGTTTATTTTCAATTTTTCTGCAGTCATTAAAGGTCCTCCTGATGGGGTAATCAAACTGCGGACATCCACACCACTGTTCAAGTAAGTCCAGGGATGATCTCTATGTTGCCATCTACAACCTTGTATTCAAGCTTGGAACACTTACAGATGTGAAAGGTCCAATCTGTGTATTGGTGTCAGGAAAAATTACTGGTCTTGAATCATCAAAGCATGTTCACAAGAACTCAGGAAGAAATGTTGCTTGGTAAAAGTATATATATAATAGAGCTTTACTTACTTCTGTTACCCATGCCTTTAGTNTGACCTTCTTTCTTGACCTTTTAGTACAACATTACAGCTGACCTAGTCCCTCAACATTTGCTGACCTAGTCCCTCAACATTGTTTTGTGCAACACTACAGCTGACCTAGTCCCTCAACATTGCTTTTGTGCAACACTACAGCTGACCTAGTCCTCAACATTGCTTTTGTGCAACACTACAGCTGACCTAGTCCCTCAACATTGCTTTTGTGCAACATTACAGCTGACCTAGTCCCTCAACATTGCTTTTGTGCAACATAACAGCTGACCTAGTCCCTCAACATTGCTTTTGTGTGACCTAGTCCCTCAACATTGCTTTTTGACCTAGACCTAGTCCCTCAACATTGCTTTTGTGCAACATAACAGCTGACCTAGTCCCTCAACATTGCTTTTGTGCAATATAACAGCTGACCTAGTCCCTCAACATTGCTTTTTGTTTTGTAGTCCCTCAACATTGCTTTTGTGCAATATAACAGCTGACCTAGTCCCTCAACATTGCTTTTGTGCAACATAACAGCTGACCTAGTCCCTCAACATTGCTTTTGTGCAACATAACAGCTGACCTAGTCCCTCAACATTGCTTTTGTGCAACATAACAGTTGACCTAGTCCCTAAACATTGCTTTTGTGCAACATAACAGCTGACCTAGTCAACATTCTGTTGACCAAGTCCCCCATCCTTCCTTCTGTGTAACATTTTACGTTGCTGGGCAATATCTTGGCTTAGTGATGTCAGTAAGCAGTAAGATTTGCGACATCTGTTTCAGGGCATATGAGCATGCATACAATCTGCTGGAGAACAACTTCCTTCCCCTGTTCCACCAGAGTGATGACGTACGTCCTTTTTCAGACTAGCTATTCAGATTGCAAACATGTTACTTTCTGGTGATCACGCTATTACCTATGGCGTGAAACAGACCACACAGTTTTTTTCAGAGATGTTTTGATGAAAAGCAATGCTTGCCACACTTGTTTCATGATACTGCAAGACCTTATCTGTATGTGAATAAGCTTAAAGTTTAGAAGACCTTTAGTCTGTATTTATAGCAAGTACTATATTTAGTTTCTTTAGTCTGACCAGTTCAAGTGACAGCACGGAATTGTTTTGTCTGTGTTTGGTATTTTGATGACACTGTGGGACATGCTCATTGATTGGTTGACCGGAGAACCAGGTAGCCAATAACACCAAATATGTGAGCAGGCCTCACTGGTACTGGTAATGGAGGTATGGAAACTGATTCATCCACAGGTTTACATGATGTGTAATTCATGCATACTTGAATACTCCTGAAACATTAACAGTACACCTACTTTCCTCCATCATCTGACAGAAATACACTTGAGCAGTACCCAATGTTATAGCTTCAAAGGATGTTATTGCAGTGATCTGAAGATATGTTTTGTACAGGAAGTATACAAAATTTAGTTGCTATTTACCATACAGGCAGCAAGTAGGCATGAAGTTAATGTGATACCATTAGGAATTCATTTATCAAAATATATAAATCAAAATATACAAGGAACATGTTTTTTTGTAACCAGATTTTGTGTTGTTCACGGCAGAGTCTTGGCATAAGGAAAGAGCAATCAGAAGTCATTATCTGTATGTATTATGTGAACCCCTCTCCATACAGCTGAATTGCTGGCAATATAATAAAACCATATCTCAATCATTGACTCAACTATGGTTTGGCAACTGTGTAAGTGACAAGTGCAGACATTTTGCATTCATTATTCAGGGGAGGTAACTCATCCCTCTTTAACTGAACTGTTGGAAATTGCTTTCCCACTAAGTCTTAAGTTTATTCACCTCACTTAGACCCCACTCAGCGTTGATCCTAGTCACAGCTTGTTGTGACAAGATGGAAGTCTGATATGTATGTAAGGTATGTGCTTGTGTTGGCAGTATTACCAGATGGTGTGTGGAGGTCGGCCTGAAGTGCTCAGCCGGAATCAGTCAAGGTAAGCTTCTCCAGTGTCCTTCAAGTGGGAATAACACTCATATTTCATTAGCAGTTCTTGGAACTTACTCATTTGCATTTTTAATGTGAATAATATGAACTTTCCAGCTGACAATTCAGCACAGTTTATACAGTGCAATGTAAGATCTCACATGTCCCATTATTCTTTGTGAACAATGAACGCTCTGCACTGCATGAACTATCAAATTAACTTGTTTATATGATGATAATGATATGTATAATTGATTGTTTCTGAACTGACACATAGTTTATTTCTTTACATGGAGTAGTCTGACAAACTCAAGAAATAACAACAGCCATAGGTATGCTTGCTGTATATAGTTAGTGGTGTACTGTTTATCACACATATAGATATATGTGCGCACCATGGTTCTAGAATACATGTCCTCACTCACGTAGCTGTGTGTGCACTCTGAGGTTCCTGTCATCACTCATTTACTGTATATACACTACATGTCATCACTTAATCCACACACTGCACCAGGTTGGACAAGTACACACACCAGCACATGGGACACCTGTCCTGTCTCCCTGGGCCTCCCTGGGAGTGACCTCACACACGGCTTCATCTGGGACAAGTACAAGGGACACCTGTCTTGTCTCCCTGGGCCTCCCTGGGAGTGACCTCACACACTGCTTTATCTGGGACAAGTACATGGGACACCTGTCCTGTCTCCCTGGGAGTGACCTCACACACTGCTCTATCTGGAGACAAGTACACACACCAGCACATGGGACACCTGTCCTGTCTCCCTGGGAGTGACCTCACACACTGCTCCATCTTAGACAAGTACAAACACCAGTACATGGGACACCTGTCCTGTCTCCCTGGGAGTGACCTCACACACTGCTCCATCTTAGACAAGTACACACACCAGCATATGGGGAACCTGTCCCATATCCCTGGGAGTGACCTCACACACTGCTCCATCTTAGACAAGTACACACACCAGTACATGGGACACCTGTCCTGTCTCCCTGGGAGTGACCTCACACACTGCTCCATCTTAGACAAGTACACACACCAGTACATGGGACACCTGTCCTGTCTCCCTGGGAGTGACCTCACACACTGCTCCATCTTAGACAAGTACACACACCAGTACATGGGACACCTGTCCTGTCTCCCTGGGAGTGACCTCACACACTGCTCCATCTTGGACAAGTACACACACCAGTACATGGGACACCTGTCCTGTCTCCCTGGGAGTGACCTCACACACTGCTCTATCTTAGACAAGTACACACACCAGTACATGGGACACCTGTCCTGTCTCCCTGGGAGTGACCTCACACACTGCTCCATCTTAGACAAGTACACACACCAGCACATGGGACACCTGTCCTGTCTCCCTGGGAGTGACCTCACACACTGCTCCATCTTAGACAAGTACACACACCAGCACATGGGACACCTGTCCTGTCTCCCTGGGAGTGACCTCACACACTGCTCCATCTTGGGACAAGTACACACACCATCACATGGGACACCTGTCCTGTATCCCTGGGAGTGACCTCACACACTGCTCCATCTTAGACAAGTACACACACCAGTACATGGGACACCTGTCCTGTCTCCTGGGAGTGACCTCACACACTGCTCCATCTTAGACAAGTACACACACCAGCATATGGGACACCTGTCCTGTCTCCCTGGGAGTGACCTCACACACTGCTCCATCTTAGACAAGTACACACACCAGCACATGGGACACCTGTCCCATATCCCTGGGAGTGACCTCACACACTGCTCCATCTGGGACAAGTACACACACCATCACATGGGACACCTGTCCTGTCTCCCTGGGAGTGACCTCACACACTGCTCCATCTTGGACAAGTACACACACCAGTACATGGGACACCTGTCCTGTCTCCCTGGGAGTGACCTCACACACTGCTCCATCTTAGACAAGTACACACACCAGCACATGGGACACCTGTCCTGTCTCCCTGGGAGTGACCTCACACACTGCTCCATCTTAGACAAGTACACACACCAGTACATGGGACACCTGTCCTGTCTCCCTGGGAGTGACCTCACACACTGCTCCATCTTAGACAAGTACACACACCAGCATATGGGACACCTGTCCTGTCTCCCTGGGAGTGACCTCACACACTGCTCTATCTTAGACAAGTACACACACCAGTACATGGGACACCTGTCCTGTCTCCCTGGGAGTGACCTAACACACTGCTCCATCTTAGACAAGTACACACACCAGTACATGGGACACCTGTCCTGTCTCCCTGGGAGTGACCTCACACACTGCTCCATCTTAGACAAGTACACACACCAGCATATGGGACACCTGTCCTGTCTCCCTGGGAGTGACCTCACACACTGCTCCATCTTGGACAAGTACACACACCAGTACATGGGACACCTGTCCTGTCTCCCTGGGAGTGACCTCACACACTGCTCCATCTTAGACAAGTACACACACCAACATATGGGACACCTGTCCTGTCTCCCTGGGAATGACCTCACACACTGCTCCATCTTAGACAAGTACACACACCAACATATGGGACACCTGTCCTGTCTCCCTGGGAGTGACCTCACACACTGCTCCATCTTAGACAAGTACACACACCAGCATATGGGACACCTGTCCTGTCTCCCTGGGAGTGACCTCACACACACTGCTCCATCTTGGGACAAGTACACACACCAGTACATGGGACACCTGTCCTGTCTCCCTGGGAGTGACCTCACACACTGCTCCATCTTAGACAAGTACACACACCAGTACATGGGACACCTGTCCTGTCTCCCTGGGAGTGACCTCACACACTGCTCCATCTTAGACAAGTACACACACCAGCATATGGGACACCTGTCCTGTCTCCCTGGGAGTGACCTCACACACTGCTCCATCTTAGACAAGTACACACACCAGCATATGGGACACCTGTCCTGTCTCCCTGGGAGTGACCTCACACACTGCTCTATCTGGGACAAGTACACACACCAGCACATGGGACACCTGTCCTGTCTCCCTGGGAGTGACCTCACACACTGCTCCATCTTAGACAAGTACACACACCAGTACATGGGACACCTGTCCTGTCTCCCTGGGAGTGACCTCACACACTGCTCCATCTTAGACAAGTACACACACCAGTACATGGGACACCTGTCCTGTCTCCCTGGGAGTGACCTCACACACTGCTCCATCTTAGACAAGTACACACACCAGTACATGGGACACCTGTCCTGTCTCCCTGGGAGTGACCTCACACACTGCTCCATCTTAGACAAGTACACACACCAGTACATGGGACACCTGTCCTGTCTCCCTGGGAGTGACCTCACACACTGCTCCATCTTAGACAAGTACACACACCAGCATATGGGACACCTGTCCTGTCTCCCTGGGAGTGACCTCACACACTGCTCCATCTTAGACAAGTACACACACCAGCATATGGGACACCTGTCCTGTCTACCTGGGAGTGACCTCACACACTGCTCCTTCTTAGACAAGTACACACACCAACATATGGGACACCTGTCCTGTCTCCCTGGGAGTGACCTCACACACTGCTCCATCTTAGACAAGTACACACACCAGCATATGGGACACCTGTCCTGTCTCCCTGGGAGTGACCTCACACACTGCTCCATCTTAGACAAGTACACACACCAGTACATGGGACACCTGTCCTCTCTTCCTGGGAGTGACCTCACACACTGCTCCATCTTAGACAAGTACACACACCAGCACATGGGACACCTGTCCTGTCTCCATGGGGGTGACCTCACACACTGCTCCATCTTGGACAAGTACACACACCAGTACATGGGACACCTGTCCTGTCTCCCTGGGAGTGACCTCACACACTGCTCCATCTTAGACAAGTACACACACCAGTACATGGGACACCTGTCCTGTCTCCCCGGGAGTGACCTCACACACTGCTCCATCTTAGACAAGTACACACACCAGCATATGGGACACCTGTCCTGTCTCCCTGGGAGTGACCTCACACACTGCTCCATCTTAGACAAGTACACACACCAGCATATGGGACACCTGTCCTGTCTCCCTGGGAATGACCTCACACACTGCTCCTTCTTAGACAAGTACACACACCAACATATGGGACACCTGTCCTGTCTCCCTGGGAATGACCTCACACACTGCTCCATCTTAGACAAGTACACACACCAGTACATGGGACACCTGTCCTGTCTCCCTGGGAGTGACCTCACACACTGCTCCATCTTAGACAAGTACACACACCAACATATGGGACACCTGTCCTGTCTCCCTGGGAATGACCTCACACACTGCTTCCTTCTTAGACAAGTACACACACCAACATATGGGACACCTGTCCTGTCTCCCTGGGAGTGACCTCACACACTGCTCCATCTTAGACAAGTACACACACCAGTACATGGGACACCTGTCCTGTCTCCCTGTGACCTCACACACTGCTCCATCTTATAGACAAGTACACACACCAGTACATGGGACACCTGTCCTGTCTCCCCTGGGAGTGACCTCACACACTGCTCCATCTTAGACAGTACACACACACCAGCACATGGGACACCTGTCCTGTCTCCATGGGGGTGACCTCACACAGTGCTCCATCTTGGACAAGTACACACACCAGTACATGGGACACCTGTCCTGTCTCCCTGGGAGTGACCTCACACACTGCTCCATCTTAGACAAGTACACACACCAGCACATGGGACACCTGTCCTGTCTCCATGGGGGTGACCTCACACAGTGCTCCATCTTGGACAAGTACACACACCAGTACATGGGACACCTGTCCTGTCTCCCTGGGAGTGACCTCACACACTGCTCCATCTTAGACAAGTACACACACCAGTACATGGGACACCTGTCCTGTCTCCCTGGGAGTGACCTCACACACTGCTCCATCTTAGACAAGTACACACACCAGCACATGGGATACCTGTCCTGTCTCCCTGGGAGTGACCTCACACACTGC